GATTTTTTCATGTAATTTAAGTAAAAAAGAAAATAAGTTTTTTTATTAATTAACATATCAAATCAGTTAAAACTTAACAGAAGAGTTAAAAAAGATTCGATTTCAAACATTAAGGATCAAAAAGATATTTTTTTAATATAAAGACTAAAAAGTGATTTTTTTCCATAATAGAGGAACCAAAAGAGGTATTTAACCCTTTCTTTTTTCAAAACATGTTCGGTGTACTTCTCATGCTAAAGCTGTAGAAAAACTTTATGGACTCATCCACAACTGATAGGTGCTAGGTTCGGATTCAAAAAGGTTTTGACTTTTTCGCCGTTTGAGTTACCGGCTTGTACCCAAGGTGAAAGCACTTTTTGAAGACTGCTAGCCGAGTCCAGCGTTACTTCTATCTTCATTGTGTTAAAAAATCAAGGATTCCCGATAAGAAGAAGATGGAATGAAAAACTGAATCTCTCATTAACTGAAAATAATTTAGTCTTTAAATAGACTTTACAAGATAATATTATCTAAAAAGATAACTAACCAATCTTATCTAATCTAATTTAAATGATAACAATCTAAAACAAATAAATAACTTAAACTTCCTAAAATATAAAGATAATGGCTAAATAATAGGATCTAATTTCCAACAATCCCTCCCTTAAACTAAAAGTCTTCAGACTTTAGTTTAAAGAAATATGGATAACATCATATCTGTAGATCTGGAATCTGCAGACCCTCCCTCAAACTGAATTATGCATGTTGCAAAAACCAAGTAACTCTCTCAGTTTTGAAAAAGCTGCTACTTTGAGGGGTTTTGTGAATATATCAGCTACTTGATCTTCTGTTCTGTAATAAATCAACTCAATTGTTCCATCTTCTACCAAGTTACGCAGGAAATGATACCTCACATGTATATGCTTGCTTCTCCCATGCAAAACTGGATTTTTAGAAAGCTTGATAGCTGAACTGTTATCACAATAAATTGAAGTGGCCTCATGTTGATTCAACTCAAGTTCTTCCATAATTCTTCTCAACCAAATAGCTTGACAAGCACAAGAAGTTGCTGCCACATACTCCGCTTCTGTTGTGGACAAAGTCACAATGGGCTGCTTCTTTGAAGACCATGAAATTGCACCAGATCCCAACATAAAAACAAACCCAGAAGTGCTTTTTCTGTCATCCAGATCTCTAGCATAATCACTATTTGTAAAGCCTGCGAGATCTGTCTGGTCACCCTTCTTGTAGAATAGTCCAAAATCTGTAGTTCCACATAAATACCTGAGAATTCTTTTAGCAGTCTACAAGTGCAACTCCTTTGGATGCTCTATATATCTGCTAATCAGACTTACACCATGCATTATATCTGGTTTTGTTGCTGTCAGATACATCAGACTTCCAACAATCTGCTTATACAGTTTGTTGTCCACAAATCTGCCTCCTGGATCTTTCACGAGCTTTACACCTTTGTCAACTGGTGTAGTGACAGAATTGCAGTTCTTCATTTGAAATCTATCCAAAACTTCCTGCACATATTTTTCTGACAAACAAAAATTTCAGAATCTGACTGTACTACTTTTAGACTAAGAAAATAATGCAACAAACCCAGGTCTGTCATTTCAAATTCAAGCTTCATGGACTGCTTGAACTTTTCCAACATGCCAAAATCATTCCCAGTATAAATGAAATCATCAACATATAAGCATACTATAATCAATTTACCTCCATCTCCAAATTTGATGTAAAGTGTATGCTCATAAGGGCACTTTTGAAAACCTTCCTTAAAAAAATAAGCATCAATTCGACTATACCAAGCTCTAGGCACTTGTTTTAGTCCATATAATGCTTTCTTCAATCTGTAAACCTTATGCTTAGCACCAGATTTCACATAACCAGGAGGTTGATCAATAAACATCTGTTCTTGCAGATTTCCATGCAATAAGGCAGATTTCACATCAAGCTGATAGATCGGCCATGAGTTCTGTGCTGCCAATGCAATCACCAATCTGATGGTATCCATCCTTGCAACTGGAGCAAAAACCTCTTGATAATCAATGCCAAACTCTTGCTTGTAACCCTTTGCCACCAAGCGAGCTTTGAATTTGTCAACCGCCCCATTCTCTTTGAGCTTTGTCTTGTAGATTCATTTAACACCAATTGTTTTGTGCCCTTTTGGAAGATTTGTCAACTCCCAAGTCTGGTTCCTTTCAATAGAACCAATTTCTTCTACCATGGCCTTTTGCCACTTTTCTTCTTTAATAGCTTCTTCATATGTCAATGGATCACAATCTACAAATAAAGCAAAATGATTAACTGGAACATCATCTTGAGGTAGATTTGTTACCTCATAATCTTCCAACCATGCTGGTCTTCTCTTTTTGCATTGAGGTTTGGAACTAGTTCCAGATTCCAGTTCTGGTGTTGTTGGCAGACTTCCTCCAATACTGAACTCTACTTCTGTAGGCAGAATTTCTTCAGCTGTCTGTCTTGAAACCTCAAGATCTGCTAAAGTTTGACCTTCTGAGTTCTGCATAGTCAGATCTTCTCCATTTTCAAAATCTGCAGGAATTTGTTGCCCAGATTTTTTTGTCCAAGACCAAGTGCTTGCTTCATCAAACACTACATCACGGCTAATGATGACCTTCTTGGTTAAAGGATTGTATAATCTGTAAGCTTTGGACTGATCACTAACACCAAGGAAAATACACTTTTCCCCTTTGTCATCAAACTTACTCCTTTTCTAATCTGGCACATGTGCATATGCTATGCACCCAAAAATTCTGAAGTAATCAACAACAGGTCTACATCCACCCCAAGCCTCTTCTGGCGTCAAATCTGGAAGTGGAGATGTGGGACATCTGTTCAAGATATGAAAACTCCAATTAACAGCTTCTGGCCAAAACTCCTTAGGCAAGCCGCTCTTTGACATCAGACTTCGCACCATATTCATGATTGTGCGATTCCTCCTCTCACATACACCATTCTGCTGAG